CAGACTGATCCATCTTTTAGTGCACCTTTGCATCCATCAGATGCCACCTTTTAGGTCTTTAAACCTTTCCACTATAAAGAGATATTTGAAAGGCGGTCTGAGATCAGGGGAACCACGATCAGATCATCTGCGGGTGTTCTTGTAATGCCTTCACCAGGCTGAACGATGCACTGACCCATTGTACATATTTTTGATGTCATTCGTGCCTTCGTGTAGATGTTCACATCTGTCATGAGTAGACTGATGAACGTGAGTAGAAATCGAGCAGCTTTGAGTCTCAATATCATGTGTGATAGCCTCGATTAAGCCTATCTTTTGTAAATAAAAAACCCTGAATAGTTAAAGTTGGACTCTGTAGAGAGCACTTGTAGGAAGTCAAAGCGTCAAGAGGGCGGTGTTTTTCAGTACCTTGCTAATTGGACTTTTGATTTATGCAAATGGCTGGAGAGGAAGGTAGATAGGAGGTAAGACTAGTCCAATTGCGTTCCCCTCATTAATGCAATTTTCTCCACTTAATTAGGAGCGAGAAAATTACTCACACGAATCGGGACGGAGGAGCGGACGGACAGGCGGAGTGAAGTGGAGTGCAGTGAAGAGGTGAGGGTGGTTGGAGAGAGGAGGAGGAGGAGGAGGAGGGGAGGTGAGTCTTTACTCCCTCTCTTTCCCCCTAGTCTCTAAATACTTAATTAATTTATGCATAATAGGAGCTAATTAATTTACACACGCTCTAGACAGACAATCCAGTTTGTGTGGAGGTCTATTAAAGGCCCCACAGGACGATGTTAGTGGTGGTGATGGTGGCAGTGCCAATGCAGCCATTAGTCCAGGGATATTTTTCTATGGCTGTAAGAAAAATCGCCCTTTTAATTAATCAACTGTGAGTTTTACCACTTCACAGCTAGTGAATCCTTTGAGTAGTCGTGGCGGTTGATATGGCTCACCAACCTTACCAACCTCTCTCGTGTTTTTCCACTTTCCTAATTATAAAGTCCGCCTCTTGGTAAGGGATGAGTTGGATTGTTGCCACAACTTGGTCGTCCTAATTATTTGATCCAATTAATTAAGCAAAACCCAGTCACTTTCCCCAGGGAATGGTGGGGATTGGTGTGCATTTGTGTGTGTGTGGGTATGTGAGGGACGTGGGGAGAAAGAGAGGCTACCTAATTAACCGATAATAAGAGCTAATTATTTTAGGAAGTCCGGTCTGGTAAATGCTTTCATTTGCATGCCTCCCCCTTACCCCTCCCTCGCTCTGCCCCCCTTCCTCCTCCCCAATGCCTTGCCTTTTGCCTCGGCCATGGAGTCCCCTACTCTTCTAGCTAGGTGCAAGTCAGTAATTGGTTTACGCACAGAACATATAATTGTGTCCATTTAGGCCTGAATTATGCCCTAAAATCAAATGGCAGGCGTTTGCTCACTAAATTTTTTTTTTAAAGTGATAATAAAACCATTAAAGATGGTCCCCCTTCAAGATCTCACTGACCTTTACATCTAACATAAGCATAGAGGTGAGGAAAAGTGTGTTTTAATAAAGTCGCTCTTTTTTTAGAAAATTGAGACCTCTTTGAAGGCAAAGAGGGATTATAAAGCATGATAGGAAAGTATAGTTTGATTTGGAGAGGTGTTTGGAGCCTCAGGCATGGTCGAGATGTTAGAATGCCCAACAGTGGTGGAACTCCTCATTAACTCGTCATCAAAACTAGTAATAAGTGAACGAATAAGGTTTCGCAGAATCCCTACAACTACCAAGCGGCTTCCTGTAGCATCGTCGAACCAGTGTAATGCCTACTTTTTGGATTTGACTGTCACCAGCTAACCTATTTTAACAGAATACTAAAAACATTTCAGTTTTTGCATAGGCGTTTACATATTTTAAAATTGGTCCTCACTTTTGTGAACAAAATGCTGCAAAGTCCTATCCAGTTTCTCAGCGAAACCGCATCATATCCTCAACTAGGTGAAAACATCTCTAAGCTACACTCTGAATAAATGCAAAATCGACACCGATTGCCAAGCCCCATTAATGTCAACTATTTTGTGAATTTAAAGGTTCAAATAGTCTTTTGAGTGTCAACAGGAGTTTCACGGAAGGCATCAGGACGCGCAAAGCGTCCTTGTACGCATTCGCCCTACGACTCGACTGACTGCTAAAGCAATGCGAATTCAATTGGGTGGGTTTTAGCTAGAAAACGGTCGGTAATGCAGTTAATTATAACCCGTATACACACCCAATTATGTTTTTTTCTCGTTTCCACTTATTTAACCACATAAAAATGGTAGCTTAAAGGTGGCGCAAATGTGTTTGATTCCTTTATTCTTCCACCAAGGCTAACACTAACCGACAAAAAGATTGAATGTGTCAATTCAGATTGTAGATTTTTTGCATAAATTTGATATTTTCTCTTCTCTCAAAGGTTGTTCATGACTGAGACTTCCCATTGGCTGATTTAAATCGTCCGGCAAATCGATTAGCTAATCACAGTAAACCTGTTAATTAATTGATATGATTTGATGAGGTGTGTGGAGGAACGTCAAGCGCGGGGTGGGGCTGGTGAAACTGGTGGATGAGAGGGTGAACGAGGTGGACCAGTCAATTAGCATCATTAGAGTGTGGGGTTGACGACTGTTGATTGAATGCTGTAGGTGGACTACCGCGTTCACTCACACACTCGTCTCGCTCTCTCCACAAATGCTGAGGTTGAGAATTTGTACGCACGCATGAACACCATACGCTGTCTCCTCCTCTTCCTCCTTCTAATTAGCCTTAGCGATTCTGGCATAGGTGTGCATATAGGGCCCACTAACCAGCCTCACTTTCAAATCACACATGCATCACGCATTTTTTCTGGGTCACCAAATCTTAAAATCCATTTGCCTTAATTTTGGGATATTTTCACTCCAATGGTAGCACATAATTAACATTTAACAGAAAAAACTGGGACAAACTAATTTTAAGGGGCGTCTAATCAATCAGGTGGGATAGGGATGGAGGGAGGGCGGCACGAAGAGGGGCTGGAGGGAGAGGCGAGGAGTCCAAACAAAATGCATTTTTGTCAAGAAGTCTGCTGTTTCGCAGAATTAATTTTGTGCAAATTACTGTAGAGTGCCTTTTGAAGTTTTGACACAATGGCATTTATTTGCACCAAAAGGGGGCCCTGAGAGTTAGACCTGGGAAGAGGAAAATGTGAAAGCATTTAAGCTAATAATTAGGGCGTTAAAATGACTGGAATGTGCAAATCACAAAAGGTCAATGAGTGAAACACAGACACTGGGTAGGTGTACCTAGCAAGGTGCTGTGGTGGATACCTACCCTCTTCTCCCAATCTATGCGTAGGCTTCAGGAAAAAGATTAAAGAAAAGGAGTTATGAGAGGGGTCAGAAGAGGAGGAGGAGGAGGAGGAGGAGGAGAAGGAGAGGCAACTCCAATTTCCTTTTGTGAGCAACAGGAAGAAAAACCACGCCTGAGAGGAGGACTTTCTGAGGATGTAGGCAGGTCTCCGGAAGGCAGAAATTTGGCATTTTTATTGCCGTGCTAATTAAATTAGCTGAGCAATTGGAGGACTTGAATTTCCCACTCCAAACTCTCGAACACACAAGACGAACAATGCAGCCGAAATCGCCTCGAAATACGCGCATTCAATTAAGCCTAGTTGTTTTTTTTTTCTTATTGAAATAAGAGCACAAGTGAGAGAATACTGATGAACTTTGACCACCCTTCCGTACGATAGGAGCGACCCATCTGCTCCAGGTTGGCGTCATGATAATACATGGAGCTAGTCATCGCCTCCGAATTTCCAAATCGCCTGTACCTTCCGAAGAGCTACGCTTCCACACACCCAAAAATTAATCTTAAGAGTTTACACACCTTATTTGTCTTGGTAATCAACTAGGATGGCCACATTTGGCCAGCATACCGCGAAATTTTTTGGCTATATTTTAAAACAGTCAGAAATTACCAACTGCTTAAGATGGAGGCCCTCTTGGCTGATGGGTTTTAGGCCATCATGCATGACATTGGCATTGTCCTCGCAGGGCTTCCTTGCATTTCCGAGAATTTCCAAATTTCATGGTCACCTGTCGCCTCGTTGCTGATTCGCCTTGCAGACAGCTTAACTCTACCTTCTAAGGAAGTTTCTGTTCAACATTTTAAAACACAGTAGACCTCTACAGCATCAGACGATCCATCCTTGATTATAAAATCAAAGGCATTTCAAAGCTCGGTTCAAGCTGTTTAAGAAGGCCACTAAGTGTAATTATTGTTAAATGATAAGGTCTTTACAGAATTGTACACTGTGGTTTCCAAATGTGCACGAAATGTTGCAATTCCCTGCTCCAGGAATGGCACTTCCACGTGGTATGTGGTCATGCGGAGTTTATTAGTAAGCCAAGGCATTCCAAAATGTCAGGATTTCGTCCATTTTACTCCCGCCCCCACCTCCCATCCTGCTGCCCCCTCCTCCTCCTCCCCTTTTCCTCTTGGTGGGACGGTTTTTAACAAATTACTCTCCACTCAGACAAGGTTAATCGTTTTATCCTTTAAAAAGACCTCCAAGTTGTAAGCACAATCGCTTCGACGTTTTGCCCTTCCTTCTGACTGCTTTAAGTTGACTTTATAAAATTGGAGAAAATTAAATGCCAAATTTGGAATGGTGTAGCTCCCATTCTGAATGAAAAGCCTTGCATAATAAAGGTTGACAAAAGCATTTCAAAATGACACTCTTCTGCATACTTGGGACGGAAATCATGTGATGTTCTGTCACCTTCAAGTCACATTTAACACGCATTAGGAAAACTGATTTTTGTGATAAAGGAAGGGGACCGTATGTTTCAGTCCAAAGCGACTTTCCATGACCTCCATTACAGAATCTTTAAGTGGCCAATTTCGGTAATATTTTTAAGAAGATAAGAATTTCGTAGTAACACATTCTTACATTAAGAATCTCCTTCTAATAGGCAACACATCTCACTTACCACCCCCAGTAGGAATTCCACTCTCCCCAATGGAAGATGTCGGTAGCCAAGACGGTAGCCCTGTGGGACTTCCCTTCTCTCCCATCACTAATCCCTTTGCTGTAGTATTTGTAGGTGGGGGGAACATAAGGCCTCCAAAGATCTGCTCAAAAGCCAACGCCGACGTTGAAGGCGAGGTCGGTACAGCCGAGGCGGAGGCAGAGGGGAGGGCAAAATTCATCGATAGCGTTGCTGCTTGACTTGCTGACGGTGTGGGCGGGGTGGAGGCACTGAGACCCGCGGTGAGGCCAGCACTATCCATGTGGGACACTTCTGCGGTGCTCTGGACACAGCGGTGAGATAGTGAGTTGCGCCACCCGACGTGCCTCATGTCTGTGCGGGTGTGTGTGTATGTGTACGTGCGCGTGCCATTGCGGGTGCGTCCGTTCACGCTTCTACGCATGGTTATAGGCAGAAATTTTACTCAAGTGGTGTTCTCGGCAAAGGGGAGGGGAAGGAGAGGGAGTAGAATGAGGGGGATGAGGAAAATGAGTGCTATTAGAGCTTGTTTGGCTGCAAAAGTGGCAGTATTTTTTAATCACTTCGACACCACTCGTCATTCCGATCTCCATTAACGGCGCGTATTTTACTGCTCCATATCTTCGTAAATTATGGCTCTGTTGTTTTTTAATAAGCAGAATATAAACCGAAAGTCCAAAATTGCACTTTAGTCATTTTTAAATGTAAGCTAAAGTTTTAGGACGAAGACTACAACTGGTACATCTCATTTGCTAAATGTCAGGCACTTGTCAGACTTTTTAAGAGTCTTTAAAACAAGACAGTAACTACAAATCATTTCTAATTTCTACTGTCACTCAAACCTGATTACGCTTACTCCAAGTAGAAAATGTATCCCGCCTCTGTGAATGGTTGGGAATTTCGAGTCGCCTCTTCGGTCCGTATTTCTTCGGCGATGGCCACATTAGGCGGTTTTGCATTTCATGCCAAGACAACTTGACGCTTATTGCACCCATTATTATTATTATAAGTTAGCGGGTACAAATGCATCAGCTTTGAAAGTGAAAATCTCAAAGGCTGGAATGATTTGCTACGAAAGGATTTGTGGTTGCATCCTTTTAGTTCACACTTATAACAGCAATGCTTCCACCAAACTCAAGCAACAGTTCAAGCCAATGGAAGAACAAAGTTACTGTCAAAATGATGCGGTTTC